TCTCTCTCTCTCTCTCTCTCTCTCTCTCTCTCTCTCTCTCTCTCTCTCTCTCTCTCTCTCTCTCTCTCTCTCTCTCTCTCTCTCTCTCTCTCTCTCTCTCTTCAATCCTGCCCCCCAGGGGGAGTGTAGTGGTCGACTCGTGTATTGTCCGTCTCCAGAGATCTCTGTCTCTGGTCATTTCTTTTAATTCATGCATAGGTCTATGGTATATTCCTGTAATTTGATTTATCCATCTTGCTGGGGATCTTCCTCGTGATCTTCGGCCTTCTACCTTTCCTTGTATTATGAGTCTTTCCATGTTTTCTGTGTTTACTCTCAGAACATGCCCAAAATATTTTAATTGTTGGAGATGGACTTTACTAGAGAGTCGTTGGCTAAGTTTTAGCTCTCTTAAAATTGAATTATTTGTTCTACGGTCGGTCCAAGGAATTCGTAGCATTCGTCTCCAACAGAACATTTCAGTGGCGTCTATCTTTCTTCTCTCCGATTGTCTCAGAGTCCAAGATTCACATCCGTAGGTCAGTATTGGGAATATTAAGCAGTTGATCAACCTCATCTTTATCGCTCTTGAAATTTGACAGTCCTTCCATATTTTGGTCATTTTTGCTGTGGCAACTTTTGCTAGATCACATCTACGTTTAATCTCTTCTTGTAATGACCCTGTGTTTGTGATTAATGATCCCAGATATAAGTATGAGCTCACAACCTCGAACCGGTCAATTGTGGTTATGTGTGGATGATTTTTGTGTAGTCTATCCACTATCATGATCTTTGTCTTTGATATGTTTAATTGCAGACCAAGTATTTGACTTTCGTTTTCGATCAGTCGTATAAGTTTCATCAGCTCTGCTTGACTATTTGCAAGAAGGGCTGTGTCATCTGCGAAACGTAGGTTATTTAGTTTATGACCATTTATTGAGATGCCCTTTTCCCATCCTTTAAGTGCTCTTCGCATAATATACTCCCCATATATGTTGAATAATTGTGGAGATAGTATACATCCTTGTCTGACACCCCGTTCTGGATGAAACTCGTTCGAAAGTGTGTCAAGTACTTTAACTAATCACTAGTAAACTTAAACTAATAATTTACTTAAGTAGTGTGTTCATATAGTTCAGTTATAAGCGTAATTAGATGTTGTGGTACGCCTACTTCTTTTAGTATTCGCCATAAGTGTCTCCACTTGACCCTATCGAACGCTTTACGGTAATCTATAAAACAGATGTATAGTGGGATGTTGAATTCCCTAGATTTCTTGATTATCTGTCTTATATTCAGTAGGTGTTCTCGAGTGCCTCTACCTTTGGTAAATCCAGTTTGCTCTTGTGGAATTTCTCTTTGAAGGAATGTTTTCAGTCTCTGGCATGGGATATAAGAGAGATAGTTCTATAATTGTCGCATTTATGGAAGCTGCCTTTTTTATGTATGGTCGTTATTGTAGATTTTGTCCAGTCTTCAGGCCATTGTTTGGAATGCCATATTTAGTTACAGAGTAGATGAAGTAACTTTACGCCGGTTTCTTCTGTAGCTTTAAGCATTTCTGCTGTTATCATATCTGGACGTACGTACGTTCCTATATACCAATAATTATACAAGAAGCCATAGAGATCGAAAAACTCCCGAATGATTTCAATAAAAGAGATGCGGCACCTATACCTACCAGTAAATTAGATCGTTTATTTTTGTAGGGTGGTGTAAGTTTCGTTGAAATTTCAAACAAAGTCCCTTCTTACGTATGAGATTGTATAACCATACTGGGTCACTTTTTCGAAAGTTGTACCTGTAACATGCACATCTTCGAGCACGGTCTTGTCTTTATCACTTTTAAGCTTTAAACTTTTACGAACACATTCGTAGACTTTGTTAAATTTTTCTTTCAAATTTTCGATGTACGTCAGGGATGAATACTCTTCTTCGCAGGGAGGCAATCTTCCAAAATAGGATCTTTAGAAAGCTTCATTTCTATTTCGGTGATCATCATTGATAAAGAATAACCCATTGCTTCATCTTTGGAACTTCTAAAGGCTAACAGAAATATGAGAATTAAAGATTCTTATGGAGATCTATCTTCATGAGATGACTTATGGAGATAGATCTCACTCATAATTTTTCACCTGTTTCGATTTTGTGCCTCTGGCATCCAGTGTTTCTAGTAACGTTTTAGATCGTCAGTCCATCGTGTTAATGTGAACAAAATGGTACAATGTTACAACTTCTGTTAGAATACAGAAGTAGAAAAAATCTTTAAAGGTAGAGAGAGAATATAAAAGCAAGGTATTATTGTAAACTTTTACTACAAGTGCTAACACAAGACTTCGCAGTGTAAAACTAAGCTGTTGTGTAAGTAAACATTTCCTTTGTTTTAAGAGAGTGACTGCTAGTAAAAAAACTAAAAATTATAAAAACTAGTTTTTTCTTTGGTCTTATGTGGATTATAACCAGCAATATTGCCAAGGTTGTATGGGAATTTCTTCTTCTTAGGGTGCCTGTCCATTCCGAACGTTGGCGATCATTCTGGCTATGATGATTTTGTTGGTTGCTATACGAAATGCTGTGTTGAGGTCTTTCTATACCATGCTCTCAGGTTAGCAAGCCAGGATATTCTTCTTCGTTCTGGGGCTCTTTTTCCTTCAATTTTACTCTGTAAAATGAATTGGAGTAGCTCGTATCTGCCTTGATTTCTCATTATAAAGAAATGGAAATTTACGAAATTTTAATAACACATGTATAAAATTTAAATTGCTTAATTTTTTCACTTATTTCATTATCTTTTAGTCATTTTGTTATACCTAACAAAATATTATTTTAGAAAAAACATTCGCAATACCCTATATATTTATCCAGGGTATATATCTCTTTTTCGTTTCCTTGATTCAATTAATATATTTCGTCTTGGTCTCCGTCATTTAAAATACCTGAAAGATAGAAAGAAAACACCACTTTGCCATTTTCTGGTTTTCTAAGATAAATTTTACATCACCTAGCAATTTATTGGTTCTAAAGGTAATTAAGTGAACATTATAGTAAAATCAGCATCTGCAGACACTCATTTGCTCCAGTTAGGGGTAGAAAGTTTTAGAAATTATCAGAATGTGGTGTTGAATTTCTAATTGTACTAATTGTCGCCAATTTTGTTGTAAAGTAAAGAAAACTTTTTAAATCGAACATGTTAAAGCAAAATTATAAAGTATTACTACTAGATTTTTTTTAATATGAATATACTTAAAAGACAATGTTCAAGTGATTTAGCAAAAGAACTTCAATGAAAATTATATTATATATAGGGTCTTTAATTAAGTATTTCTAAATTTTATGTTTAAATAAAACATTATTTGTATAAGATATCATCGATGTTTTTTATTGTTAACGGCCACTTGGATGGCGCGCATCCGAAATATTTAATTTTACATGACTGGCGCATAAATCACGCTAAATTTGACTGATGGCATGAGTCCTGACCATAGGCATAGACCTGAGAATTTGTAACGATTATTTGTCAACGACATAGGTTATCATTATAGGAGGTTGAAAATTTGGAACAGAAATTATTGAGGTGGAGATAGGGCAAGCAAAATAAAAAGAAACTGTTGCGAACGGCTACTTAGGGTTTATTTGGAGAACTAGGGTCATAGATAGGTAAATGAAACAATGAAATTGGACTAGGGCAACTACAAGAAATGAAACAAAAAGGGGTACTTACATGAATCTTATGGACAAATACAATACAAGAAGGTTATCAAGCTATTTAAAATAAAGACGCTGCTGAAAAATCTTCCTGCTGGATGAAAGATTGGCTCTTCCTTCCTAAAAGATATAAAATAGGTTAGAGAGTTAGTTAAGTAAAATAACAACTTGATTTAGGGAAAAAAATTAAACATTTATTGTTATCACCACAAACAGTTACAAATATAAATAATAATATTAAAATAACAAAAAACAAACTTACTATATTACTATCCGTTTACAAACTCTAGAAGTTGGAGATACTATGAGAACTTACAATTATTACTGAGCAATATTTTGTAGCAGAAATAAATTATTACAAATAAAATAATATCTTTTTAAATGGGACTATACATAAGGGTTAATCTTAAAAAAAACAAAGATCTCAATTTATGATTAGGTATGTGTCAAATGTAAAAAAATAAAACACTGAAAACTTTGTTTTCAAACTTCCACAAAATTTATTTTAACTATTATCACTACAGCTGTTTCGGCTGATAGCCTTTCTTAAGTGATCTATTTTTGGCTTGGGTTTACAAATTTATAGTCTCTAATGAAATAGGTTGAGGAGGGGAGCACTGTTTGTCTCAAGTTGGTCATTCAGAATTATATCTGTGTTTTTTAATTTGTTGATTTCCATAGATTCTAACAAAGATAGCTTAAGGCCTTTATTTTGAATGTGAAGAATTTTAAATTTGTCATTAAAAGAATGATTATGATCTAGAAGGTGAAGTGCGTATGTCGAATCTGTTTTTCTATTAAAGGCCTTAAGCTATCTTTGTTAGAATCTATGGAAATCAACAAATTAAAAAACACAGATATAATTCTGAATGACCAACTTGAGACAAACAGTTCTCCCCTCCTCTCCTATAAATTTGTAAACCCAAGCCAAAAATAGATCACTTGAGAAAGGCTATCAGCCGAAACAGCTGTAGTGATAATAGTTCAAATAAATTTTGTGGAAGTTTGAAAACAAAGTTTTCAGTGTTTTATTGTTACATAAAATGAATTTCCATCAAGTAACGGTCGAATCCATCAATTACGTAAAAAAATAAAGCTAGCTGTCAGATGTCAATATTAACACTATAACTATAATCAACTATAATCAACAAAAATATTTATATCTTTGCTATAACTTTTATGGCGATTTATTCAGCCTTCTAGAACATTATTTATTTTAGTACTACTTTTATACACAAATTATTTATATCTTTGATACAGAATTTATGGCGGTGAATTTAGCTTTCTAGATAAGATATCGATAGCACTGACTAATCTTTTCTATCTAAAAAGTTCTATAATAAATGTATTAAATGTTAACTTAATGTTAAAAAATGTTGGGTTTGATATTAATATCATATTTTGTCGGAGTTTGGGGTAAGTATCAGTTCACTTTCTTTTTTTTATTAGTTGTTCAATCACCAATATTATAAGCCTAGAAACAACAAAATAAATTGGAAATCACAAAACATATTTCCAAATACTTTTACAGATAGTATTAGGAACTTGACTTGACATCAAAAAAAGAGGTAGATCATTTCTTATTTATACGTCGGGACATAATAATTTATTTCAACAAAAAAATATTCTTAATATATACTTTAAAATTATAAAAACAAGTATGAAGCAAAGACAGACAAAGAAAATTATTTGTTAACGTTTCGTTCGATAATCCAACTAGTTATGACGGAAGGCAACCGTATTATGTATTTCTGACTATTGGTCGTCTTCAGTACGGTGCAGCCAAGTTAGTTAGAAATGGAGTATGTCAACTTTGGAAAAGATCACTACAGGAGCAATGCAACAAATTTGTGGCAGTAGAGTTAGAAGACCCTGATGGTTTCCAGGGCAACAACTAACAATAATATTTCTGTTTTCCGAGACATGCCATTAGTACATCTTTTGTATTATTTATTATACATGTAATATTATCACTTCCGCATTGGCATTAAATTGTGTTATTCCGTTCACAAATTGTTGATAGCACGAAATGTGCCTCAAAGTCATAAAACGGTCGTAAAATTTGTATCATCATAGGCATTCCTGAGGTGTTTATTTATTATCAATATTAATAATATTTTAATACTAATATATTTAGTAAAAAACAATTAAAACTTTCACGGCTAATGTTGGTTATTATATTATATTAATAAAAGTAAGAATTTATCCATTACTAATTTTGTAAATAAGAATACCTTATCTCTTTGGATATTTTAATACTAATCTTCGCGTTTAATCACTTTACTAGAAAACGTGGAATTCATATCTGAAGGTACTATTCGTTGCAAGATAGTTAGGATAGAATTCCCCAGATTTTTAATAATATAATGGGTGTAAAGATGCCGGCTTTGGCCACGTGCCTCGTCTGTTCAACTTATATTCGAAACTTAACTTGAAAGGGTGATGTTATTACGAACGAAAACAATTTTTTTGTTTAGTACGTTTTTGATCGCATGTAATTTACGGCTCCTCGGTGTTTCCGCGTCTACGGCAGTAGTTAGCGTCTCGAATATTTCTTTTGCGAATTATATGCAGTGCGTGAGTGATTTTTTATTCCATATACCTACGAACATATATGTACCTTTCGCTCGTGCTCATTTTGTTGGATTGTTTGTGATGGCTTCATCATCAACATTATCAAGTTTTACACCGGTACTCTTGCGTACAGTCAGTAAGTCTGTCTATTCACCAAGAGAGAAGACTATTGTCCTGAATGTTCACGATGCTCTGGTTTCTCAGAATCCCACAAACACTGTTCGCAACATAGTCGAAAGCTGTGCCAACATGACTAGCGTAGGGGAGTCAACCATATATAGGTTCCTATCAGAAAAAAAACACGGTATAGCTAACTCAAACACAAACGAACACTTAAAGAGAGGAAAAAAGCCTATTGAAATTGATGAATTTGCAAAAAAATGGTATTCGAAGGAAAATTCATGGATATTTCTTCAAAATAGAAATACCAAACTTAAACAAAATTTTACAACAAGTTAGAGATGACCCGGATTTGCCTCATATCGGACGAACTAAATTGTGGCAAGGTTTAAAACAATTAAATTTCCGGTGGGAGAAATCAGACCGAAAATCACTTTTGATTGACCGGGGGGAGATACGTGGGTAAACTCAGGTCATACTCTAAAAAAACTTTGGTCAGATAAAAATATAGTAAGCTCCAGGCAAGCCTTTATGGAAGGTTGGTCTACTGGTATCTCCCCATCTTCAATTAATAATTTCTCACATTGGAAGTGAAAAAGGATTTGTTAAGCATGATTTGTTGGAATTTCAGTCCAAAAGCACAAAAAAATATCACGAGGAGATGACAGCTGATGTTTCCGAAGAGTATTTTGAGCAGATGATTGAACACATACCATCAAATTCAATTATAGTATTAGATAATGCACCTTATCATTCACGAGAAAGACTTCCAACGACTGCGTGGAAGAAACAGGATATTCTTGACTGGCTGCGGAATAAGTATCTGCCTTACGAAGATGGAATGGTAAAAGCAGAACTTTTAAAAATTGCCCGGCAACACAAATATAAATTCAAGAAATGCGTAGTTGACAAAATGGCATAAAGGCGAAACATCACAGTCCTTAGACTTCCACCCTACCACTGCGAAATAAATTCGATTGAACTCATTTGGGCACAAATGAAAGTTATGTGGCTAGAAAAAATATGTCATATAAAATACACGCTGTACATGAATTGTTATACGAGTTTTTACAACATATTACAGAACAAAACTGGAAAGATGCAGTAAGACATGTAATAGAAGAATAACAAAAAATGTGGGATCTTGATAACATAATTGATGCGACCGTAGAGACACAACCGCTAATTATTAACCCTCAAGACGACTCTGATTCCGAATTTGATCCTATTTATTTTGAATTTGAATAGTTTTCTAATCGTAATTATATAATATAATTATATAAGGTAAGTAATAGTATTTGTAATCGTAGGGTCTTAAAGGGAATGTTCAATGTGTTTTAAATGTATCCATTTTTTTCAAATCGTGAGAAAACAAAAAAGCATTTTTGAAAATTTCAAAGGCAGAATGAAATATTTATTAGAATAAATAAAAAGTTTCTTTTGCATGCAATATTTTCAATTAAAAATTATACTATATTTTCTCTTTTATTTTCACCCCTGTTACATAACATATTAAAATAAACATTGTAGAAGTTTTCAGGGACTTTCTGCCCTCAGTAATAATGTAGTCTTTCATTCTGCGTTTAAATTTTTCAAAAATATTTATTAGTTTGCTCCGGATTTGAAAATAATGGATACATTTAAAACACTTTGAAACTTTTGCCAGGCGACATTTGGCGCCTTTTCCTTTAATTAAGTTAATGTATGTTTTACAAATGGCAAGAAGCTTTTTATTATTGAATAAAAGAAGTTTTATTAAAACAAAAATACAATTTAAAAAATATATTTATTTAGTTCAAATAAATGTTTCAATCATATACTCTACGACACTGGTCGGTCATCTGTAACCAAAATACCTTCGTAATCAAATTATAAGGTTGACCGCTGTATTGTGTTCCTGCAGATACAAGGTGGGTTAGTCAAAAACATCTTAAACAGTCAGTTTCAGGTTGAATTTTACTATTATATAGTATTACCTATCCTCTCTGTATTTCAGTTCTCTAATTAGGATTAAACTTGTAGTGAGCTATCGACAAATTGTGAACCAAGTAATATACTGCGTTTTGATAGTCGTATCAGATCACAAAAAATGTCTCCACAACAAATAAATATAAATTTAAGTAAGGACGTAGACGGTAAATTTACGGGAGGAAGTAGAAAAATCATTATGTTATCTTATTTTCATTTCAGGTTCACCCGATGACAGACTCTCCATTAGTGGCGGTTATAATGCCACCAAAGGCGAATTTCCCTATATAGTCACTATTCAAGAATGTCCTTTGTACCCAGAATGTATCCAGTTGTGTAATGGAGTTATTATTTCAAAAAGCTGGATCTTAACATCTGGACATTGCGTTGATTTGTTCGTTGAAGGCATATGGAAAGAGGTACACATATTTGTTACTTATTTACTTACTTATCTGTGTATTATAAAAAGGCCGTTAGATGATATTTAAGGGATGTTAAAGGGTTTATCAAATATTTGGCACTACTTTCATTGAAGGTTAATGCTTTGTTTACGGTAATTAAAAACTCTATAAATAAATACTCTATATAAACTGATAAATAACTATTATCTAACGACCTATTTTAACTTTGAGAAATGCTATTCTAATATATATAACAATAATCATAAAACTACAATAATCACTACAGTTTTGATCCATAGGCTTGTCCTTAAACCAGCTAATGTAACCTTCAAAAACCAGAATGGGTAATATTGTCGCCAAAATACACAATCTTGACAAAGATTGTTACTTTGGCAGGCCAATCACAGCGCTCGTTATTAACTTCGCTGTCATTGGCCTCTCGGCGGCGGAGCGTTGCGAATTCTCAAACACGATGTGTATAAAAGAGCAACGCACCGTCCGATCGGGACTTCAGCACAAAAAAATCACAAAAAACACGAAAAACCGGCTTCGGCCACTAAAAAAATTAACAAAAACCCCAAAACCCGGGCACGTAGGGCCCAACCCCTTGAGCACCAAGTCGCCGAACTGAGCCGGGACGGAGCGGAGACTTGAGGCCCAGGTAAGCAATTTTAGTTCGCGGATTAGCCACATTAAGATAACAGGAATATAGCGGAGATGCGCCTCAGTTTTTTGCAATCGGTTAGGAAACCATGTTGGGGTTCTATTACCCAGGACCTCCACATGAAGAGCATTTGGCTGATTGTTGTGCCTCTATATCGCATCGGAGTGCTATAGGGGGAAAGGGATGGTCTAGAGCATTGGAGCACGGTGGGGTGACTCCTGTGTAAGAAAGCTTGAACTGTTAGAGAATTCTGTTTGCCGGTGCCACCTCGCTTGTTGCAGAGGCTCGATAGAGCTTCTTACACGAATAAGCCGGTATCTGTACCAACTCCTATACGAAGATGAATCATCGCAATACGAAATCATTTTTAAGAGCAGCGGTCGCTGAGCATCCAGAAACTCCAGATAACGGAGAGGATGCTACGGCCGTACGACAATACAGGGTGATTGATTAGTGTGAGGAAGCTCAGTAGATCTGTTATAGTAAAAATTACTAAAAAAAGTTATTAACAAAAATTGTAGGCAGCTTTAAACTTCACATTTTAAAATTAGTTACAATCTTACAGGGTGTTCCATAAGATGGTGGCAGACCAAACTTTTGTTTTTTTTTAATGGAACACCCTGTATCTTATTTTAAATTTAAAATCGGCTTCACTTCCACATCACAACAATGTAAAGTTTTATTATGTTATACCGGGTATCTAAAAAGTTATAACCAATATTACCTGAAAATCGTATCAAGTTTAACTCCCTGTGCAATTAAAAAGGAGTACAGGAACATTGATCTATTGCAACCATAGTTTTTAAATAATTGTTAAAAATTATAAAACATATTCGTTTCCATAATATTCGTTAAATTAAATACAGGGTAAGTCAAAATGTAAAAACATTATTTTCTTGGTAATTTTAAATAGAACATTCTGAATTTTATATCACTATCAAAAATTAATAATATCGTACTTCAAATTTTATAAAGTACTCCCTATAGCTAAAGTTATCAGTTTTCTAGATATTATTGTTTTTCCATCAAAGTATTAATTTGGTAAATATTTTAACGTTTACCAACTCACAATATAATTATTGTGAGTTGGTTATGATTGATTTGTCAAAAACTGACAGTTTGACATTATTGTTTAATAATTTAGTAACGAAATAACGACACAGAAAAGAAAAAAATTTATTTAAAATAAAATTTATAAAAAATAACCTACGGAAAATAAAAAAATATAACAACATATAGAAAAATTAAAAACAACAGTAAGTTTAACTTATCTTACCTAAGTAAGGTGTTCAAAATGACCTCCCAAAACACCTATGCATGCTTGAAAACGGTCATTGAAAGAGTTGGTTACATTACTAGGCATTTGTAAAGAAATATTTTGAAATGCAATTCGGATTCTATTTTTCATATCATACCTTGTTGTTGGGGGTATTTTATATACTTCGTTCTTAACGTAACCCCAAAATAATGAGTCCATTTTATTGAATTCTGGTGACCTTGGGGGCCACCTTACCGGTCCATCCCTTCCGATCCATCTTTCCCCAAACTGATTATTAAGTTCACCACGTATTAATTCGTTGTGGTGCGCAGGAGCACCGTCATGTAGAAACCACATTTTTTCACGTATATTAAGTGGAACCTCTTCTAATAATATCGGTAACTGATTTACGATAAAATCTAAATAAATCTCACCATTTAAATTATCTTCAAAAAAATATGGTCCTACTACATGGTTACCGACGATACCTCCCCACACATTTAGAGGCCATCTTGTTTGACCATGTGTTACTATGTTGTATGGATTACTTGTTGAGTAGTAGTGAAAGTTATGCCTATTAAAAGAACCGTTTCGATGGAATGTAGCTTCATCACCAAATAGGACATAATCAAAAAAATCTCTCTGCTCATTAATTTTTTCTAAGGCCCATTCACAAAATACTATTCGTTTCTGAAAATCATCATTAATTAATTCTTGGTGCTTTTGAATATGATAAGGGTGCATCTTGTTTTTAGATAGAATGTTTTGAACAGAGTAGTAACTAAGTTCTTGTTCATTGGAAATAGTCCTTATGCTTGTGTGTGGGTTTTCTGTAACCGCCATCAACACACTCATTTGGTTTTCCTCTGTCACACTAGTTTTTGTTCGTTCATGTTTTTCATAATTCACTGAACCAGTGCGGTTAAATCGATCTTTCAATTTTTCAAATGTATCTTGTCTAGGTTGTCGCCTATCTGAAAACCGTTCTTGATAAATTCTAGCTGATAGTAATGAATTTTTATTGCATTCCCCCAATATCCAGATCATATCTACCATTTCATCAGTAGTAAAATTCATTATTGCTAATTTAAATTAAATCAATTACTGAATTACTAAATAATAATTGTTGCTAATTTACGGTGTACCCTAATACTGAATTAATAAATATTAATGTCAAACTGTCAGTTTCTGACAAATCAATCATGGCCAACTCACAATAGTTATTGGTAAACGTTAAAATATCTACCAAATTAATACTTTGGAAAAATAAAAATATCTTTAAAACTAATAACTTTAGGTATATGGAGTACTTTATAAAATATGAAGTACGATATTCGTTCTTTTCGATAGTGATATAAAATACAGGGTGTTCTATTTTAAATTACCAAGAAAATAATGTACTTGCATTTTGACTTACCCTGTATTTGATTTAACGTATATTATGAAAATGAATATGTTTTATAGTTTTTAACAATAATTATTAAAAAACTATGGTTGCAATAGATCAATGTTCCTACAATCCTATTTAATTATACAGGGAGTTAAACTTGATACGATTTTCAGGTAATATTGGTTATAACTTTTTAGATACCCGGTATAACATAATAAAACTTTACATTGTTGTAATGTGGAAGTGAAGCAGATTTCAAATTTAAAATAAAATACAGGATGTTTTATTTAAAAAAACATAAGTTTGGTCTGCCACCATCTTATGGAACACCCTGTAGGATTGTAACTAATTTTAAAATATGGAGTTTAAAGCTGCCTAAAATTTCTGTTAATAACTTTTTTTTGTAATTTTTACTATAACAGATCTACTGAGCTTCCTCACACTAATCAATCACCCTGTATATAAGCTTTTAAGCTTTTTTAACTTCTTTTTGTACCTATTTTCTTGTGGTAAGAACAGTGAGTTTCTGACTATGTTTTATTGTCCAACTTTTTCTTATAATTAAGCTTCCAAATGTACTTTTTTATCATTTATATAATTCTTTCTTCTTTAAATTTATTTTCTACTGTCTGAAATTTGCTTATTGCAATGTTTGACTCGATGCTCTTAACCTAATCACTAATCGTTATATAATTAAGAAATTCACTTAGATCTTATTTCTCTACAAAATACTAATATTCAGGTCCATCTTCTTCTTCTTCGCGTGCCATATCAAAATTATCCGACGTTGGCGATCACCATTGCGAAGGATTCTCGATCTTTTGCAATACGGAATAATTGTCCTGCATTTGGTATCTTAATTCGTGAATGGAGTCCATTCACGAATGTTTTTTAACCAAGAAACTCGCTTTCTTCCTACACCTCTACGGCCCTCTATTTTGCCTTTAAGGATCAGTTGTAATATTTTATATCGACTTCCCCTTACTATATGTCCCAGATAAGACGTTTTTCGATGTTTTGGTACGTTAGTACTTATTCTCAAGTCCATAGAAAAACAATTTGACATAAAAATCGATAGTAATATATAATAAACTTTGATAATAATATAGATATTCAAAAAATAATAAAATCTTTGATATTAACAATCCCTACAGCCTAGGAAAAACAAACGAAGAAGTAACTATGCCCATTAAAGGGGATTAAAGATGGGAAACCACCAAGGCCTGATGAGGTGCATGGTGAAATTTTAAAGCTATTAGAGACACACCAAATCACAGCTCTTAGAAGCTATTCTACAACATCTACGAGACTGGTAACTTACCAAAAGACTGGCTACTATCAATATTCATTCCACATTTCACTTCCTAAAAAAGCCAACACTAGAACATAGATTAATTAGTTTGATGAGCCATGTACTTAAAATATTCCTTACTATCAGTCACTTGCGCATTTACACCAAATTAGAAGAACACCTAAGTGAAGTTCAATTTAGATTCAGAGCAGGACTCGGAACGAGGAAAGCACTTTTTAGTTTGCAAATTCTAATACAAAGAGCCAGGGATGTCAACTGCGATGTGTATGCATGTATCATTGATTTCGAGAAGGCATTTGATAAAGTCCCACATGGGAAACTAATCGATATCCTAAACACATCAGGACTCGATGGTAAAGATACGGTCCGTCCCAAACCCTTTTTTCAGTGCGTCATAGTTGTTCGAATTCTCTCTAACGCATTAAGCTAGAAGTGACAGAAAAAAACGTGAGTCGCTTATTATTATACATAGAAATTAGAAAATTAGGTATCGTTTACGGGTATTCGCATATTAAAGCGAATTCTACTTACGAACGTATAATTGGTTGGAGTTTAGAATATGCTAAATAGATATCCAATCAATTATGCATATAAATATAATTTGACACAGATGATCTTGATAATGACAGTGACAGTACTTTCACAACAACTGATAAAATGATAATTGCCATTCCAGGTTAGTATTTTCAGACATTTTAACTACAGTGAAAATTAAATTCTGTATTTATTGTCATAAAAATATTTTAAATATTCCGAGATATACCGAGAATGAAAAAAGACTAATATTAAAATTATTAAATTAGTTTCAATTAGAAAATGAGGCTGAGTTATCTTTATTTCAGTTTCTGTCGCTCGCGAATCAGATTGTGAATTCCGGAATGATATTGAGGAAATATCTTAAACTAATACCTTTATGGATTTTTATATGTATTAAAACGGTTCTTTTTAGAACCACATTTTCTTGAAATGTAGGATATAATTGATACCAGCCACATATCTAGTGTTCTCATTGATTTTCAAGAATCAGATTCTGAATGGGATTATAGATTGTTTGAAATATAATATTCATTTTTGTTATTCATAAAAAAGAAGGTAAACTTACATTCTGTATCTTGTTTTTTAACTAAACTCCATTAACACGATTTCATCTGGATATCGGAACTGGTAGATTAACTCAAGAATCAACTGCTTTACTATTTAAACTATTTATATTGTTTTTTTAACTAAACTTTATAACCTTCTTTCATTTGCACACCAAATCTGGTAGAATAACTCAAAAATCAACTGCTTCACTATTTAAACTATTTCCACTATTTAATGACAACTCTTCACAAAATTAAACTATTGGCTGCCACACAAACTTATCAGAAAATTCCTTATCCAAATATGACTGATTTAAATCGATATTATTTTATCGCAGGAATGTTTACTTTGATGCCTTGCAATTGTCAGTAATTTTTTTTACCTTGCAGTCAACTCTTAAAAGATTCTAGGAGGAAGCGTTATTTTAAATAAACAAACCTTCCAATTCCCTAGTGTTTGTAATAAATAATAATAAATCCATAAACAAATCTTAGCTAATTAAGCACTTTCCATGGAATGTATAAAATAAAACAGAATAGAATAGAATTATGACAAACTGCTATGCATTAAAAAAAATAACCTTTTCACGTTTAGCCGATTACGATCCTGCAACTGTCAAATTTAACTAAAATGTCATGCAATAATTCTCGACATTCTTAAAATCCTATATGACGTCAAAATTAGTGACGCACTGAAAAAAGGGTTTGGGACAAACTGTATAAGACTGATCTCAAACTTATATCTCCAACAAAAAGCAACAGTGCAATTAGAAAATGAACTATAAAATTTATTTCTTTTCTAAAAATTCCATTATAAAAGGTATATATTAAAACACCCTATCGGGCTACATCATAGAACGTTTTCGGAATTAATATTCATTCATCATCAGTGCTACCCCAAAAGTATAACCACTTTAATTACAGCAAACATGGAATTTTAAATTTTTGACCAAGGTTAATACAAAAATGTGGTTATTACTTTCTGGATGTACATGTTTTGAGCCACTAAATACATGGTTAAAAATATTTTAAATGGTGTTAAATTTTGAGTTACATTATTTGATTTTATATACTAGGATGTTTAAGTTACAACGGGATAGATAACACGGCATGTATAGTATATAAAATCAAAAGAAAATTATAGGTGTGCAGGGTGTTTTTCTAGTTTAAACAAAAAATATTGGAAGGTGTTGAAACAATGGGCTAAAATTATATTAGAATATTTGTAATAAAACACTCCAGTTACTACATGGATAATTCTTAATGATACACCCTGTATATTGTGTATTGTGTATATTATGTATTATAAGGTTTACTTAACTTTTAGGTTTATGCAGGAATAACAAATCTTGACGATCCGAATAAACAAAATAGAAGTGTGGAAAAATCCTTTTACCACGAAAATTTAAATAAAACGTAAGTTTTTAATAAAAATCTATTTCTTCTATAAAACTAATTTAGTACAGTTGATCCGCTAGATCTTTGCACATTGTAATAATTCATATTATAGGAAATAAACCAAAACATGTGTAGCCTAGGCGTGATCTGTTTTGGATTGGACATTTTCCATAGAAAGCTATTTTTTGCTGGAATCCCTTCAGTATGTGCCCAATATCGATAATCACGATATGCGCCAGTCGCAAACCCTGTGCTAAATTTTTTATTTAACAAAATCTGAAAACAATTGAAAATGTCTCATTGTTTGCTCCTATTTTCGTTTATAATTCGGAAAATATTGATCCTAGAGAAAAAATTATAAAAAGTTAAAAGTTTCGTTATTTAATTTTACACAATATTTCGTTAGTTAAAAATTGAAAATTTAATGTTTATTGTTGAAAAAATAACAATAATTGGAAAAAAGTACAAAAAAATGAAGTTAATCCTTTAAATGTTTTCGACTTTCTAAACTTGACTTACAAGCTCCATATTCCGCACATGTTTAAAACGTGTGCTAAATTTTGTTAAGATCAGTCGAATAGGTTTTGCATAATAATTTTGCAATCCAGTCTACTGGAAAAAAATCGCAAATTTTCAAATTTATAGTAGGCCCTAAATAAGGCCCTCAGATAGTTGCAAATTTTTTTCATATAAAGGAAGGGTCAAACTTTCAAAAGCTTTTTGTAAAAAAAGTTTTAAACATTTTTTAGGCTTATAAACAAATTGAATAACTTTACGAGCTTTAAACATATCAATTTCAAAATTTATACACTTAAAGAACGTTAAAAGACGCTTCTTTTAATATAAAAGATATATTCAGCTTACTGGTTGCAGAGATATTTAAGGTCAAAGTTGGCATACATTTGCCGTGTAATCATAAGTAATAGAGAAAAAAAAAATTTCGTTCGCCTTTGTTTCAATAATTTAAATTATTTATTAACAATTTATAAATACATATTTGTTTACCAAAAGTAACAATTTACTTCAATGTATAGATTGCAAGCTAAAAAAAACAGTTTCGAGCATTACACAGCAGTATATTAACACATACAATATATACGTCATTTTCGAATCAAAATATATTTTCAAATCAAATGTCATTATTATGATTAAACTGCAGAAATAAATTATTTTTAATGTTAATTATTTTAAAAAGTTTGATGTTTAAAGTTCGTAAAGTTATTCAATTTGTGTTTATAAGCCTAAAAAATGTTTAAAACTTTAAAAAAATATCTAGGCTCTCCTAGTAAACCGATTTAAATTTTACAAAAAGCGTTTGAAAGTTTGAGCCTTCCTTTATATGTAAAGAAATTAGCAACTATCTGAGGACCTTATTTAGGGCCTAATATAAATTTGAAAATTTGATATTTTTTTCCAGTAGGCTGGATTGCAAAATTATTATGCAAAACCTATCCGACTGATCTTAACAAGATTTAGCACACGTTGTAAACATATTAAAAAGTTTTTCTAAGCGGAATATGGAGCTTGTAAGTCAAGTTTAGAAAGTCGAAAACATTTAAAGGGTTAACTTCATTTTTTTGTACTTTTTTCCAATTATTACTATTTTTTCAACAATAAACATTAAATTTTTAATTTCTAGCTAACGAAATATTGTGTAAAATTGAATAACGAAACTTTTAACTTCTCATAATTTTTTCTCTAGGATCAATATTTTCCGAATTATAAACGAAAATAGGACCAAAAAAATGAGAAATTTTCAATTGTTTTCAGATTTTGTTAAATAAAAAATTTAGCGGAGGGTTTGCGACTGGCACATGTCGTGATTATCGATATTGGGCACAGCCTGAAGGGATTCCAGCAAAAAAAAATAGCTTCCTATGGAAAATGTCCACTATGGTCTGAATTTCTGCAGATCTCGCCTAGTCTAGTGAGCCAAACGTTGTTCGGTGGCCAAACTTACGTCGGATATAAGAATTAGAAAATGGCTAATATTACAATGGACGTTTTTATACTTCTCTTTGATTTCATTTATTACATTTTGAAAACTGGGTACACATTTGTGAACGTGATTTTCCAATTTTTGGAAACATACAAGTTATCGAACTTTAATTGTAGTTGAAAACTACCTTTAAAGCACTTTTTGATATTTGTCGATATGACACTCTGATCAAAAGATATTAAATTTTTTTCGCGCTTGTAGCCGACATTGAAAATCGCCGGTCGTTTCAAGCGTTGTTTTTGGGAGATTTATTTGTGAACAAACATGCACTATCAGACAAAAAAGATACAGAAAGTTAAAGAGGAATTTGATAATGATTTGGATAAAGCTTTTTGAAGATACTTAAATACAATCTGAAAGTGGTGTTATAGATACAGTTTGATAGGGATGCCAACATGAGCGGCATATTAGCGACCTAATATAATATTTATTATTTAATTGTGACATACTTATATAATTAATTTATGTTTTTAGGTATCCCAGACAATTTGATATTGGTCTTGTAAAAGTAACCAAGCCATTTGAGTTTAATGAGTTAGTTCAAGCCGCCAAATTACCTAAACAGGATGCAGAGGTCTTATTAGAAGAAGGACATTTAGCTGGATGGGGAAAAACCCATCCGAGCGATAAAAATTTTCCAAAAAATTTACAAGCCGTCGAAGTACCTGTTATTGACTTTCAAGGTATTTATAGAACCTAATTCTATTTTTTACTCAACGTGTAAAACATAGGTAAAAATGAAAATTGTTTTTGTGACCGTTTGAATAACGAAAACGAAAAATTAAAGAATGGAAAATTATGTAAAAGGTAAAGATATTAATTTAACTTCAACAATTTTGCAAAGTTTCTAACAACAACTCGAAAAGTGGTCTGTCGATACTAGTTTTCAATTCTTCAATTCAAAAAACTTCTCAAATAATCCCAATCTAATGCATCGCTATCCTTCAAATCATGTGTAAAATTCCTAGGTATGTGGTTTGATAATCAACTTACTTGGAAAGAACATATTAAACAATTAGTGTTGATTTGTCATAAGAAACTTAACCTAATAAGAACACTGTCAAATAGATATTGGGGCTCTGATCTCTCTACCTTACAATCTACAGAACTCTAAGTAGATCAAAAATTGATTATGGATCAATCGCTTACGCCTCTGCTTCCCCCACATTGTTAAAACAGCTATAACTGTATACAACACGGCACTCTCTCTTGGCGCATTTCGAACGTCACCGGTGGAAAGTTTATATTCAGAAAGTGGGCAGCCTTCATTATATCTCCGCCGAATTTCGTTAATACTTTCACACGCAACGTCCATAGCATCAAATGTAAACAAACCTCTATTTAATAATACGTTCACTAATAAATATATAAATCTCTTTACCAATACCCCAAACATAAGCCTTACTATGAGCGAGTACGGTATTATCTGAGATGTCTTAATTTCGAATTCCCAATTATCTTTCCAATCAATATTAAAAGCCCCTCTCCTTGGATAATTATTACCCCAAATATAAATACTGGTCTAACCCAATACGACAAACATATTAACTGTTACGCAGAGATTAAGAATAATCTAGATCTAATTCTCCGTCAGCATTACGAACATTGCTATAAAATCTTTACAGATGCATTTAAGTGTAATTAGATGGTGTAATGTACACAAAGGAGTAGGTGCTGCATTCGTTACTCCAAGCGATACATATCTTCCAACCTTCTTTTCGATTTTGTACGCTGAGCTCTATGCAATGTTTAAAGCTATCATGCATATAAATTCTAATAACATTCCTAACTCTGTTATCTTAAGTAACTCACTAAGCGCCCTTCAAACCCTTAAACAGATCTATCCTAAAGCTCCCCTTGAGAAACTGATAAAACTAGAACTCATGAAGGCTCAAGAAAATTCTAGGAGTATCAGATTTATTTGGATTTCATCTCACATTGGCCACGAAAGTGCGGACCAGTGTGCAAGTAAAATTGCTAAATGTGCCGATATAGAAAAAGCCAAGTATCTAAATACTGCGAGTGATATAAAAGCTTTTATAAAAAATCGAGTTTTGTGCAAGTGGAAAAACGAATGGCAATCTTCTCAAACATCACTGAAGCAAATTAAAAATGACGTTATAGCTTGGGAACCCTCAACCAGGAACAGAAGAGAACAATTGGTGATAACGAGATTACGAACTGGACAAACGAGACTTACTCATATTTATGGTCCAAAAGTGATCCACCTATTTGTGAAACATGTAATGTATAAGTAACCGTTAATTATTTATTAATTGAACGCCATAGATTTGCCAATTTTCGTGTTACATTAAACATATCTAACAGTTTAAGTAATTTATTAGGCACTAATTTTTCAGCTAGTAATATTGTAAACTTTTTAAAATCTATAGGAATATTTTATAAGCTCTAATTTTGTAATTCTGTAGCCGCCGCTAATAACCATTATGGTGGATGCGGCTGTAATTTCTAAATAATAAAAAAAAGAATGGAAAAGAAAGGTATTTTTAAAGTGTATAACCATTTATTTCATAGCTGAGTACCTACTTTCGGCTTACAAAGCCTTCTTCAGAACTATGCTATATGCAATAAAACAGTGCTATAAATAACTAATTTAAAGTTTACAATGTTTCACTTACGTCAAGTATTTAAAAGTATTACTATATAAGTATGATAAAAAAGTACAAAAAATTTTCCTTGAAGCTGTTTCTATGTTCCTTGAGACTTTACATTGGACTTCACAAAAACACATTAAAAAATTTGGTTACGGTACCGGTGTCAGAACCCGGCCATTTATTGGAGTTGAATCAGTAGATAGATTGAGTCATAGATAAATAATATAATATGAGAAAGATTGAGTGAAATCAAACGCCAGCCTTTTAAATTATTCCTGAAATAAGGTGACAATTGACATATGTCATCCATAGAAAATTAATATTATTAAATAATCAAAACATTTATGAATTGAAATTCATAATGAAATAAGAAATTTATTGAAGACTTATAACGGTATAAAAATCACATTTTTATTCATTTATATTTAAATATTTATTTTATTTTAATTTCTTTATCAATTTATTAATTCCTTTACCTTCAGCTTCTTTTTTACTATTTTTATTCCAAAAGTAGTTGCCCTCTCTCTTTCTGGCCGCTAGTAAACATTCTGTTCTATGTTGACAGAAAAGCTAATTCCATCATAGGCATACGTCCTATGACATCTATGCTAAACTTCATTTTAGTTCGCCTACTTTCTGTCAATCAACTTTTCTAAACGTAGTAGAATGCTAGTTTATGACTCTTTTTGAAATTTATAAAAGAAGGTAAGAATTGTACCAAGGTTCATTTTATCGCCTGCGGAATTCTCTTGGGGTAAGTACTTTCATTGTAATCTATATTTTATAATTCTGACAGCATTTTTAATATTCATAACATTAATTCTTTCAAAGCCACGTTTTTCAAATGTAATCGGGCTTCTGGTTAATTTTATTGGACATATTTTCACCGAATTCTAGTCATCGGTCGGGGTCATTATCTGAAAGTTGGTGCACCATTTTTAATTTGTATTCAGCCAACACTTAGTGTCTTTTGAATGATTCTATAGATAGATGCAACTTGGGCTGTAGAAGAAGTAGTGTTCACTACCATTTCTGAATTTATGTCAATTTTTTTGTCATCACTAATTGTTGGTCGACCAGCCTTTTTGACATCTTGAACATTACTTGTTTGTTTAAACTTCCAAAGAAGCTTCCTCAAATAAGGCCTCGATGTAGGGCGATCGGGGTACCACTCATTAGAAAGACGTTCCGCTGCATGAAAATTATTTCCACATTATCCAATTATTAACAGAGCTGCTACTTTGTCAGCTACAGTACGTACTGTGTTTGTAAAAATTTAAACGTCTCGTTAAACAATAATTAAACTAAATATACTTATAACTGATAAATCATTATTTGTTCTAATAATGAGTATTGTAAAAATGTTAAAAATTTTTTTTAATCAGATTATATTCAATTTTGTAGATTGCGTTAACGAATATACCAAACACGGCGTAGAAATGCCCGACTACAATAATTCTGCAATTTGTACTGGTCCTATGGGCGAAGGAAAAGGAGCTTGTAACCTAGATTATGGAGGACCCTTTCAGCAGGATAATCTTGTCGTTGGAATTGTTTCTGGCATTATCCAATGCAGCCCAACAGGCGGTCTGACGTTATATACCAAGACCAGTTCATACATATCCTGGATTTCTGAACATATAGATGAAGAATTGACATTTTAACATAATTTTAGTTTTAAAATCATACGAACATAATTTTATTCATAAATAAAATAGGTATTTAAAGATAACTCGCACGTAATTTCTATATTGTTCACTTTCACAAAATAAATTATTGGTAGAATTAAATGGACATTTATTCCATAAAATAGGATGGTGATCTTCCTACCATTTAGAGTGTACTATGTCATGTAATTACTTTCAACTTGAAGGACCAGCCACTGGCCTGAGAAATCAGAAAACAAGCAGTTTAAACAATACATAATTTAATAATTGAAAGTTACTACAAATAAATTAATATCTAGCCAAAGTTTTAGCACAAGTTCTTATATTGAAACCACCGATTACTATCCACCATACACTAGTCCACGACACACTTCACAAGCTTTTGTATACTTGCCACAATTTATTAGGAATTCAGGGTGAATTTTATTAAATCCTGGTGCTTTTGCTAGCTTAACGTCTTTAAGAGCCTCTGATATGTCTTCGCTGGTAAAGGGGAGGGAATGCTCCGTTTCTGTGGCTACATGTTTTAAAGTTTTGTTCTCTCTTTATGTAAATGGTGTATGCTTTATCCTTTGGTGCCCTGTATGTTTTTACTATATGTGATGCTGCTGCATCTGGCTTTACAGCTGCCTCTCGGCGTTTCGTACGGACACCACTCCCTAATTTTCTTGGTAATGACAATACCTGTCTGCTTGATTTCTGGAAGTTTAGACTTTCTACCCTTTCGGTCCACTTTTGGCCTCTAGTGGCGTCTAGGCTGTACAGTAGTTCATCCACTATTTCTTGGTCGCCAGTTTCAAGAAAGCTCTGATATCGTTTCTCGCTATTTTTCGACCAGCCACGGATATATTCTTTGCGACAGCCTCTTGATATGTGTTTTTTGGCTACACTTAGCACGACACCAACAAATCTGGTAGTTTTTGATATTAGGTGTAATCCACCCTAGGCATTTATCCAGATCAGCAGAGATATCAATCCAGTTGGCCTTTTTAAAATTCCATCTTGTACGTGGGATAAAACTAATTAAAGGGATTTGGATCCCTACTTCTATTATTACTGGTCGATGTTGGCTATGTGGTAAATTAGTTAGAACTTTTCACGAAGCCCCTAGAGGTAAGTCTTTGTTGTCGGTCAATGCCAGTTTTGATAAAACTGGCTTTGTTAAAAACTTTGCTAAAACTTCCTTTCGTTGGAAGTGTTGTTTGGTCAGGAGATCCTAAGGATTGTCTGAATGACAGTAGGTGCTAGTTCATTTAGCGTTACCCAAGGTGCACGTGTAGTATTCTACTACAGACGCGAACTAGCTCTACACCCCATGGTAAATTTAACGTTTAGAGATCCAAAAATAACGTTGTCATGTATGAAAACAGTAGGAGAAAAAAATTATTTTTTTGTCAGTCCAGTGATTTGGTTAGTACAAGTATTAAAATTTATTTTAAGTATACTTCATCTAATTTTACTTACACGTCATCCGTGTCATATTCCGTGAGGTCACATGATATCAACACGAAATATTTAGGCGGTAGGTGTGTCCTTTTTTATAATCATTTTGCCGTATAGACTGGCATTACAGCCACTAGACACATTCTATTATATACGCGTAGAAATAATATTTAAAGATTTCTATTAATGTTAACTTAAATAAATACACAATATGTTTCATTTAATTTGTATAAACGCATTAAAAAGCGTTTTTATCAAGAACATTTGTTCGGAAAACACTGTAACTGTAATCGAACGAAGGTGATATTTTGGCATACATTGGTAACACTTATTTGACAGTTACGGTGTTGACACTTTTTGTACTTTATTATTTTGAATTTTAAAGTGAATACCTCTTGTTTTATATTTTCACCTATTTAATAAAATCTGTTTTTTTTTACAACAAAATTAGTGTGTTTTATTTAAAAAGTGTCACGTAAGAATTTAAATAGTTGTTGTAAAGAGATGGTAATACTTTTGCAATAATTATGTGACCTGTTTGATTTAAAATGGAGTCAGGATTTTTTTATACTTTGGCAACTATGTCAACTTCGATCTCTGTCAATGATAATGACGTGCAACTGTAAATAAATTAGATGAAGTATAGAATAGTTTTAGTCAACGTTAGTTACTGCAGAATCACTACATTCGTAACGTAGTTAATCAAACTCACATTTTTCACTGAGCGGGCAAAAAATTTAGTCACATTGAAATTGTGACGTCTCGTTGACATTTTCGTTTGTAAAATTCTGTTTGCGGTTTTATACCATTGGTGCTATATTTTGTAAACTAACTTTTATAATTAATATTGGATTAATAGGAATATTTTGGTTTTTAAGTTTTATTCAGGAGAAGTAACAACTTTGCAGCAAAAAGAAAGTGCGACTTATTGTTAAGAAACTCACAAAAAAATTATCAAAACCAAACATTATTGAAAAGAAATATTTATCAATAGCGCGCACTTCCCCCTTTTCCATTAATGACAGCTTGTAGGCGACAAGTCATACTTTCAATTAAATTACGGATCACATTCTGGTCGATGTTATCCTATTCTTGTAATAACAACTCTCGTAGCTCCTGAACAGTTCTTGGCCCACTTGGCCCACCATACTTCAGCCCAATTTATCCCAGACATATTCAATAGGATTCATGTCTAGACTGAGTGGTGGCAGATTAAACCTAATTCATACTTTATCAAAATATTCACTGACAACTTTGGCAGTATGGGGTCTAGTATTATATTGCATGAAAATGCTAAGTTCGCCCATAATAGTCATGAAAAGCAAAACAAGATCATCTAAAACTTCTGTAATGTATCTGTGAGCCGTAACGGAGCCATTTTGTGTAAAGACTCATTTGATTTAATTTTAGTTAGTTTTATTTAATTTTTGTAATTTACTTTATTTTGGTAAAGCGTTAACGTTTATAAAACGTCATTTTATTTTTATAGTAAGTGTATGTTTATCTTACCAATGATATGTAATAAATATATAATATACGTCATTTATCTTACCTTACAATTACAGTAACCCAGGGGTGCTCAAACGGTCGATCGCGATCGACTGGTCGATCGCGAGTGCTTTTTGGGTAGATCTCGAGAAGAAAAAAATTTTAATAAGTAGGTAGGTAACTAAACTACTGTCAGCAGAGTTAAACGTTTTTATTAATACTGAACTATACAAATACATACAATGCTTGACTAAGCATCATTGCAATTCAAAGAAGTGGGGACTACAAAATACTGTCCACACAGCATATTTTATATTTACATATATTAACTAATTATTTTATTAATTCAATATTTATTATAATTATTAATCAAATTTGGTATGATATTCTATCAACTACAAAAATGTATTACGTAATAAAATAACACTGCTTGCGGCCAAAGGTGGCTTTATCAAAGGAACGCGCGGCACTTGTCAAATAAAAGCCGTGTTTTTTCTAGACGAGAGACAGTAGTACAGTCTAGTTTCGGGCGGCGCGTTTGACGGTACCATTCGAGACTTTCGTTCACGCCGATACAAATGTTGCGCCTGCAGGAATTGGAGTTATTCTGAATTGTAACTTGATAGCGATCCTACGTCGATACAAAGTTTATTATTAAATAGTGGGAAATGAGTGCAGTGAAGAAATCTAAAACGTATCATTTTAATAAGGATTGGGAGGAAGAATTTTTCTTTTCTATGGTGAAGGATAAGTGCATTTGTGTTATTTGTCGTGCGTCAGTTGCAACACCTAAGCGTGGTAGGTAGATCATAAAACGGTTCATAAAAACTATGAAAAGGATTTGTCGCCACAGAGTGAATTAGGAAAACGAAAAGTAAGTGATTTGATATCTTGTTTGAAAAAAGAACAATCCATGTTCACAAGACCAGCCAAACAATCAAAAGCTGCTACGATCGCGTCATTTAAAATATCTCATATTTTGGCGAAACACAAGAAACCATTTGAAGATGGATCGGTGGTGAAGGAAGCATTTATTGAAGCGGGTAAGACTTTATTTGGATATTTTAAAAATAAAACAGAAATCATGTCTGCTATTAGAGAACTCCAGTTATCTCGTCCGACTGTCATAAGGCGTATTGAAGTCATGAGTCAAGACATCGCAGATAAACTAAAACATGATATCATGGAATGTACATACTTTTCTTTACAGTTCGACGAATCCATCGATATGACAGACACTACCCAGCTGTGTATTTTTATTCGGATGGTATTCAATGACATGTTGGCTAAGGAAGAATTTTTGACAATCATTCCTCTGAAGGGGAAGACCCGTGGAGAAGATATACAGGACGTTTTCTTAAATTTTGTAAAAAACTGCGAGCTACAATATATAAATTAATGTGCATTACAACCTATGGAGCACCAACAATGACTGGAAACAAAAACGGTTTTGTGGCATTGTGTCGAGCTAATGAAGAATTCCCTTCATTTTTTTTCATTCCATTGCATTATACATCAACAAGTTTTGTTTTCAAAAGTTTTAAACACGGAGGAAATTATGGGCATTGCAACAAAAATTGTGAATTCCATCCCTGCACGTAGCTTGCAACGGCGGCTCTTTCAGTTGCAGTTGGAAGATAGGGAGTCAGCTGAACACACTGATTTAGTTCTTCACACGGACGTCAGGTGGTTGAGTCGCGGAAAATTCCTAGAAAGATTTCAAGAATTATTGCCCGAAATAACAGCTTTTCTAGACGAAAGAGGTGATGACACTCAGATTTTGAAAAACAAAAAATGGCTAAATGATTTTGCATTTTTGACTGACATCACAATGCACTTAAACACCGGTAACTTGGAGCTTCAAGATAAAGGAAAAACTATTATTGAGATGATTAGCGCAATAAACGCATTCAAAAGTAAATTGCAACTTATGATAGATCAACTGAAAAGAAAGGATCTGAAACATTTTCCGTCTTTGAAAGCAAGGATTCCTCTGTTGAATTATGATACGTATGAGGCTGAATTATCAAATATTTTGGGACAATTCAAAATGCGTTTTTATGATTGCAGTAAATTGGAAAATATAGCATCATTTATGAGTTATCTTTTTTCATGTAAAAACATTGAGGAATTAGCTACTGAAATAGCAAGTCAGTTTAATATGAACTCATGTTCTGTTGAAAATGAGTTGGTGCAGATTATATCAGATATACATCTCAAAGCTACAGTATCTGATACAAATTTCTGGCGTTTTATATCTGATGATAAATATCCGAATGTAAGGCAAATCGCCCTTCAACTGACGGCATTTTTTGGGTCAACTTACTTGTGCGAGTCTGCATATTCTGATATGAAGATAATTAAGTCAAAATATCACAATCGGCTAACTGACGATCATATGACATCATGCTTGCGATTAACACTCAGTGGTTACGTACCATCTTATGAAAAGTATGCTGAGGACATGCAGTCCCACGCTTCAATATCCAAAGCCACTCCTTAGTTTAACACCACTGTTTAACACCATTTATAACTCTTTTGTTTTGTAACAACAAATAAACTCGCAATTTTGAATAACTATGAGTTTTTTCATTGATATTGTAGAGAAGAACCTAACTAAACCTAACCCAAACCTTGACTAAAATAATGTACCTATATTGTGCAGAAAGCTAATATATATATTTGCTACGGTACGCCCTACCTAGATAGGTAGGGTGTATCGTGTATGTACGACAACCCTGCATCACACACACTTGCAGTCTCTCAGAGTCGATCGTAAGTAGTCTAAAAATATTGAGGTAGATCGGCAGCAGTTCAAGTTTGAGCACCCCTGTAGTAACCAATGTTTTAAGCAATTTTGCGAAAAAATTAATTACTGTAAAGTAGTAAAATTGTATCTCTCTTTATCATCAGTGATATTGAGTCAACTACTAACTTCCAGCAGTCAACGACCACCAACAGTAGAAAGAATATACACTTCATCTAATTTATATAACGATGCACGTCATCAGCGTCATAGCCTGTGACGTCATATGATACCAACACGAAATATTTAGGGTTTAGGTGTGTTCTTTTTAGAATCACTTTACCGAGTACACTGGCATCACAGCCACTACACATATTTTATTATATACGCGTTGAAATAATATTTAAAAATTTCTATTAATGTAAACTTAAAGAAATACACAATAATATGTTTCATTTAATTTGTATAAATCCATTATAAAGAGTTTTTATCAAGAACATTTTTGTTCGGAACACATTGTAACTGTAATCGAACGAAGGTAAAATTTTGGCATAAATTGGTAACACTTATTTGACAGTTGCGGTGTTGACACTTTTTGTACTTTATTATTTTAAATTTTAAAGTGAATACCTCTTGTTTTATATTTTTACCTATTTAATAAAATCTGTTCTTTTTAGAACAAAATTAGTGTGTTTTATTTCAAAAATGTCACGTAAGAATTTAAATAGTCGTTGTAAAGAGATGGTAATACTTTTGCAATAATTATGTGACCTATTTGATTTAAAATGGAGTCAGGATTTTTTTATACTTTGGCAACTATGTCAACTTCAATCTCTGACGTAGATAATGACGTAAGTCGTTATCTAAATTAGATGAAGTATAATCTTCCTGTCTCTCGCCTTTTTTATTAACTGTCAACACAACAGCAGCAAGTACCAAAGTAGTTCTCCACCCCAAAGGAGAGCGCAACTCCCCTATTAAACATAAAAAGGCAGAGATCAGCTTTGTTCAAGATGCAAGGAAGCAAAAACCTCCAACAGAAACCCATGCACGATTCTCTGATCAGGTTTGCCTTGTTGCCATGCTTCTTTTAATAATTTTTTTACTATTTCTTAAAATATCTATTTTAAGGGGTTTTATTGAAAATTTCATAAATAAATGATACAATTTATTTTACAATTTTTATAACCTGTTGCTCAACATAGTTTGTTTTATATACTTTTAATTTTCAAAGCTCAATTGCTCATCAATATTTTCCTGTATCCAGTCAATGAATGAACTAACTTTGGTATAAACGGCTAAAGCGCCTTCGAAAGCACAGGGCTTGGATCCCCAAGAGACCAATCCTATAACAACGTCATTTTGAACCAAAGGACTACCAGAATCTCCATAACAAGGTCCAATTCCTCCGCTATACGGCCCAGTACAAACAGCAGTGTTGTTGTATTCGGGTAAATCCTCACCTACTTCTTTCTTAAGTTTGGCCATACAATCTATAAAAGATAGGTATATAAACAGTACTAATTAAAACTAAACGGACCTAAAACGAAAATTATTAAAAAATTATACAAAGAAAGTAAATAGAAGAAAATATATCTGAAGAGATTTAAAACTAATATACCGATATGTCTAAAAAATGGAGTAACTCCCTTATGTCAGTATATTTAACACAATAAATGCTTGATGCACATTTCGCACTGCGAATACAATACTAACATAATTCAAAATTTAACACTCTATGGCCCCGTATGTACTTAAGGCAACAAAGGAGTTTTTGATGCAGAAAACTTTTTTAAAACAATTTCCGACTCTAAGATGCCCTCTGTTGATTTCAGGCAACATTTGGTTATACATTTTAATATACTTAGTGCCATCTATGAACCTGTCACGAAATCTATATGGAAATTTTTAACAGTATGACAAACGCACATGGCTGCCTTATTAATTTGTATTTTCGATCATGATTTATTGTTATAAATTGTGTACAAGTTATATAAAAATACATAGAGGCATTATATCAGCATTTAGATATTGATTGCCGTTAACATTTGTTTATTTTATTGTGTTGTTACAGTACTGTGATAAAAAACAGGTGTGTTGCTTTGAATCCACACTGGACCATATCATTTTAAATTATTTTTTTAGGATGGATACAAAAACATTCTACGGGAAAAGCAGTAAATATCCGTTATTGTTTGTAAATGTTCCCAATAAATCCGAGGATTCCTAAGACTCTGACTTTGAAGAGAGTGATAATGAATTTTCCATAGGTACTCAGATATCAATCGATCAAGGATCAAATAAAATGGAAAATGAAGACGATTTGTACGAAGCAAATTTAGACCAGGATACCAATTTAGATTAAGACCAAGATGAAGATGAGGATGATACCGATAAAACAGAAAAACACACTGAACAAAATGTGTTCAAAAAAGAATAGAAATAAACCATTGAATATGACACTAGCAGAATTAAACCAATTTATTGGACCTGTCCTACTGATGTCAATATATAGCTTGCCAAGGACAAGATCATTTTGGTAGAAGGAAACACGTGTTGCTCAAATAGTTGACACTATATCTAGGAATCGCTGGGAAGAAATAAAAACTAAAATTCATTTCAATAATAACGAAAATATGGTCAACAATAATGATAAGTTATACAAAATTAGACCATTAATCAACGGTCTAGTTCAAAATTTTCAGAGTATTCCAATGGGTGAGAAATTGTGTATTGATGAATAAATGATTTAAAGGGGCACATTCTTTAAAACAATATATGAAGAACAAACCCAAAAAATGGGGATACAAGGCATTTGTTTTGTGTGATAGCAATGGTATTTTTTATAACTGGGAATTATATACATGAATTCTTTCATTCTCTTCATTTACTTAAAGTAGGTACCAGCGGTAATGTAGTGATAAGATTGTGTGACCTAGTCGAACCAAACAAATACTATAAAGTATATTTTGACAATTGGTTCAATAGCACTCATTTGCAGATTCAAATGGAAAAACCTAGACTGCAATGTTTGGAAATTGTTCATCCAAACAGATTGCCTAATTGCCATTTTTCTTATGAGAAGAATATGAAGAAACAGGGCAGAGGTACTGTAGAAGAAAAACACGCTACAATAGATGGCATAAGACTAAAGTGGGTGATCGACGAACGAGCCATAATACCGCAGTTTTAACAACGACAGTTTTACGCGTGGCTCGTTGGTGCTGATCGACTAGCGAGCAAAAGAGTCGTGTCAACCGTCCACAGCCAACATGTCGTATTCAACTGAAGTTTTGTGTTACCTCGCTATAGCAACGTCTGTTCACTTCAACGGTCACCAAAAACTGCCGGTTTGGCTCGCCACCCCTGATACACGCGCACAAAACCGCAGTTTTACTCGCCTGTTGACCAGGGCCTTAACAGCGTTAAAGTGGTACGATAATAAACAGGTTCATTTACTTAGTACATTTGGTGGTTCTGAGCCTACTTCGTTAGTCAAGAGGTGGGATAAGAAACAAAAATCAAGAATTTATGTATACTGTCCAAATACAGTGCAGTTTTATAAAAAAATTATGGGAGGTGTCGATCTTATGGATTCACTAATTGCTCTTTACCGAACAGACATAGGATTTAAAAAGTGGTATCTAAAAATATTTTTTTACCTTTTGAATTTAGCTGTTGTTAACAGCTGGTTGTTGTATCGTCGTGATTGCGATTACTTTGAAATTGAAAAGAAAACCAGTTGCCTTTGTTACAGTTTAAGTCCCACTTATGTAGCGTACTGTTAGCAAGAACTGACCAGATCAAAAACGAAGGACGTCCTAGACTCAGTGAAATTGAGAACGAAATTGTAAAAAAAGAGAAGAGAGGGCCTACTGCTATTGTACCACCTAAGAAAGTTAGGCTTGACCAAAGCTCCCACTGGCCAGTATTTTGACTACATAGACTAACAAAATATGTTACAATTGAATTATAAATATTTCAACTTTCATAAAATGTTATGTAACTTAACATAGTTTTTACTGTATTTGCAGTGAGATTTGAGATGTGGATTTCTTGCTCAATAAATGTATAAGTTTTACCGTTAGATTGTACTTGCTAACTCAAAAACGATTTTTTTTAGTTATGGTACTATTGCACTCATAGTGCGATGTGGGCTGATTGCTGTACTCAATGAAGTTAAATAATAAAAATTTTCGTCATAATAGTACATTGTTTACCGGGTAGGAAAAGCTTAACATTCCTGGACGACTGTGAAGATTGCTAAGTCGAGGCGCAAGCCGAGACTTAGCAACACAGAGTCCAGGAATGTGGCTTTTCCTACGAGGTAAACATACTATTTTTCCGCAAATCGTTTAAAATTCGACAGATATTGATTGATTTAAAAAAAACGCGATAATTTTATTCCCAAATAAATGGTGCTTTGAAATTCCTAATAAAATTACTTGGGTTACTATGGAAACGTATTGAGGTTGAATTGTCAAACTTGACAATTTAATTTCTATCATTTATGTAGAACACTAACAACTGTACGGAAATATCATTTCCTTACACAGTAAGGAAATGACATTTCCTTACAGTAAGGAAGTCCTGACTTTTTCTTTAAGAAATTTTGATAGGAATGTCAAAATTTCCTGGCGATTTGCGGAAAAAATATTTATGTACATTATACCTTAGTTTATAAATTAATCTACATACGAACCATTATATTCAACAATTGGAACTACAGCTTTTTGTAGGTCATCAGGATATTTTTTCGTGGGTTCAACTTGTATTGCTCCCCAACCTGTCACTGTGGCATTTCCAGGTGATTCGTTAGTGTTTGGTTTTGGTAGAACAGCAACTTTTACTCTATCATTTAATATAAGCGGTGTCTTAAGCTTCATGACCGCTATGTCGTGCGAACTGATTTTACTACAACAAAACTATAGTTATGTACATATACATGTATGAACTTTAACATTGTTCTGAGGCTATTTTCATGTGGCATCTTAATATAATTTACTATTTTTATTGGGAACAAGCCACAATTTTACTTTAACGTTTATTAACGTTTAAAGTTTATTTTGACGTTTCTATTTCCACGTCGAAAATCGTTCTCAGAATATAAAAGATTACAGAATTAAACAAATTTTATTTTTGTTACTTGTTACTGGTTTTGTTACTTTATAAAAACTAAGTTTATCCCCGGCAAAATACAAAAACTCAATACGAAAGCTGCTCTCTTTACCTTTAACACGCATCTTGGTTTTTGTCGATAGGATACTTGGATGAAAAGATATTGAATTTTTACCGTCGTGCTAATACAAATTTTATTGAACGACTGACATTCAAAATCGACGGTCGCTTCAAGCGTTGTTTCTAAGAGAACGGTTCATTTTACAAAAAAGTGCTAACATACATTTTTATTTAAAATTATCTCAACTACATTTTTATTTGAAATATTTTTTTTCTACGGCGTACAGATTCTTGGTCAATCGATTTTTTGTGTTTTTACCCCCCTACGAAGAAGCTTTAGCCCAGGGGTAAAAGTGGTAAACTTTTTGGATCTTTTGATCTTGGAGGAGAAACATTTGTTAACATCTGTTTTATTAAAAAATGATTATCCTTTATCGTTTATAAATAAGTAATTTTCAACAATCGATCGAATAGAACAGAACAACTTAGAACGAGATCCTACAGCATACACAAGGAATAATATGAGGAAAATAACAATACCGTACATAAAAGGACTATCAGAAAAACTTAAAAGGATAGGAAATAAATTCAACATTTCAACAACATTCAAAACAACAAACACGTTGAGATCTATTTTGTCCAAAACCAAACCTAACAATGAACAAGAAACGACAAAGAATTGCATTTATAAAATACCTTGTGAATGCGATCAGTTTTATTTAGGTGAATCATCAAGGTCATTAAATGTTAGAATAAGTGAACATCAATCTTATATTAAAAATAAAGAATTTGATAGATCTCAAATATGTAAACACGCATGGGATAATGAACATAGGGTTCAATGGAATAATTCAAATGTAGTCCTAAAAGAAACGGATGGTAAAAAAAGAAAAATCAAAGAAGCGGCTCTAATTATGCTAAATGAGGCCAATTGTGTCGCAAATTCCTCGGCAGAATGTAGTAGGATCTGGTTACCAATATTGAAAGAGGAAGTTATTAATAAGAAAATACCAGCATTAGTAAGTCAGTAACATATAGAGGATACATCATTTATGTTTTTTAAATAACGTAACATATAAAATCAGAATTTTGATGTTTGTTGAAGGTAAACTAAACTCACGAACAAATACTTACAATGTCGGGATAGTATTATGAGGTTTTTTTCCTTGTTTTTCCTCATAATTTACTATGGAATCACTAACAGGAGAATTTTACTATCATCATGTCATGTGTTTGTCTTTTTAAAGACGAATTACATGCTATGATTTTTTTCTGACGGATATTCTCAAGTTAAAGTTGATTTCATGTAATCGAATGAACTATCTTATAAGTAAAGTCGTCCCAGGAGCGCAACTCAACAATATTGGCAATATCATTTTAAAATCGTCTACTTTAAAATGCATAATGTATGTCTGAATTGTCAATATAAATGAGTCAGATAAAATTAAATTATTAGAAGAATTTTTCACTATGTAACAAAAAACAAAATTTGTTTAATTTACTGTTTGTATTTTGAGAACGATTTCCGAAGTGGAAATTGAAACGTCAATAAACGTATTTTTATCTTTAATTGTGGCTTATTCCCAGTTTAATAGTAATTAATTTACAATGCCACAAGAAAATAGCTTCAGAACAATATTAAAAAATAATATTCTCGGAAAAATTCAGTTTTTTCATATGATATTTAGAAGTTGAGTGGCATTTTCGTTTTTGACGACTGGAATAATTAAGATTATAATGTCGCCAATAGCTGAATTCCGGTTTTACGATTGGTCAAATTGCAACCATAATTGCAGCTAATGGTATTGTCCAAAATTGAGTATTGACTGTTGTGCAAGCTTCAATGCCAGAGCGCCATAGAGCACTTGACTTATTTAATTCTGTCTAAATATAGGTGCACAGCCAAAAATTCGTTCTGGTCTGGACAAGGATCCGCAGAACCAGCCTTCTTGGCATTAGAGACCTTCTGTTGATTTAGGTCTCAGAAACTCTAACTTTTACTTTTGTACCTAACCGCTATCCTTTTTATTGCATGATTTTTCTAAATTGTTTTAGGTCCCCTAGCTGGACCTAGAATAATTTATATTTAATTGTAATTTTACAGGCATTTTTCGACTTGGAGTATTTCATCTTTTTAACTTAACGATATTTGAATTATTTTTATTATTTCTTTTAGGATTTTTCTTGTATTCACGATTCTAAGTTCATAAACAGACTTTTCATATTTCGCCTCTATTTTACAGGTATTTTTGACTTCGAATATTGTTGCCAAATATTTAATTTCGATTTATTTCAGATTTTTAACTTAGAATATTTTGGCAAAATATTTATTTTTAATTTATTTAATCATTTTAACTTAAAATAATTTCTCTAACTTATTTATATATTTCTTTAAGGATTTTTTTAAGTTCACCAACGGACTTGAAAAATTTTTGCGATATTAATTGATGTTTATTTTTCGCCAAGCGACATTTCGTGTATAAAATAACTTATGTATATTTCTACATTTTTCATAGGTCTCATCGATTTTTTTCAAATTTCCAATCTCAAATAACTTTCTTTATGTTAACATTTTATATCATGTGATTGTTGTTTATCTCCGAAGTACCCACTATAAACAATAATATCTGTTTTTCGAAGAATTTGTCAACTTTTCTGAAATCTAGCGAGCGAAATTTTTCATATTTTCATTTTTTTTTTTTTCTATTTTTGTGTCACTAGTCTTAGGTGTAATAACTAATCACTTCTCTTGTAGATTCTTAGTTCTGAGACAAATTAGCACATTCTTCTTACAGATTTTTAACATTAGTTAACATTTATTGCATTTTATTTTAAAAAGGTAATCCTATTTAGCTTTGGACATATACGATCCAATCAAGCTATGGATAGTTCGACCACCTTCCCTCATTTCCGAGGGTTCAGGCCTGCGACAATAAGATGGCTTTTTAAGTGTTTTGTGAATTCATAATCATATTACCTTTTGTCCTACAAATTTAGTTAACAAAAATTAATAGTAAATATTTTCTACATCAATAAAAATCATACTTACAGATTTTTGTCGAATTTTGGATGAACAATAATTTTCACTATATGCCTGAATTGCTGGTTTGGATCTTCCACATTTGTAATTCCAACGTGGGCCTGAAAATATAGTTCGATATTTACAAAATCTTTTAAAATATTAGTAGGGAATAATAGACTAAGTGAGTGTAATATCATTCAGTGGCGGTTGGTATATAAGTGCTGCGGAGCTGCAGAACCACCAAAATAATCCAAACAAAATTACTTTGAAAATTAAATAAAAAATATCACTACTTCAGTTAGATGGTCACTAAATTCATTTAGATGGTTTTCGTGCATGGCCGCCTTTATTTTAATCTGTCGTCCGTCGCATCTCATGGCGACAGCAAGTCCCACTTATTTGACCGGACCGGTGCTACTCCGAGCTGTGAACTGTTAAAGATATCCCCGATAACACCCGCTCAACCCCTCGCCAACAATTTTCAGGCGACGACTGAAAGCAATATTTGAGTTGCATTTGTCGCAGTTTGAACTAGTGTGTACAAACCTACGTTTATTGTAATTTTAAATAATCGGTGATCGCGACGCGACGACTGTTAAAATAAGTTGTCCTGCACGTAATTCGGTATTTATATTAAGTATATGAGAATAAAAGTGCTGTTCAGGATGGATGTTATTTATAATTTGATTAATGTTAAGAGATTCTTTAAATATTCTTATGACGAAAAACTGGAATTAAAATGCAAAGGACGTCCTTTGCCGGATATTAAATTCGAAAAAGAAGGATCAAGCCGATGGAAAAATTACAAACGACAATTTAATTGCGATATTTATACGAGAAATAGTTGGATATGTGGCTGCAACAGAAAAAAACGCTCGTTTCTGTTTTCCTTGTGTACTCTTTGGAGGTGATAAGTCATGGACGCAAGTTGGTGTAACAGACTTAGTACATTTAAGTGATAAAATAAAAAAGCACGAAACTTCTAAGCATCATTTGCACAATCAAATGGAATATGCTTTATTAGGCTCCGTGAATATTAAAGAACAGTAAGATTCTGCATACTGGATAAATATTCAAAAATTCAATGAAGCTGTAACAAAAAATACGTATGTTCTCTCAAAAATTATAGACTGCATAAAATTTTGTAGTGTTTTCGAATTGGCGCTTCGGGGACACGACGAGACACAAACATCAGACAATCCTGGAATTTTTCGCGGATTCATAAATCTTACTGCTGAATTGGATAGAACTTTAGCACAACACTTGGAAGAATCGACGGTTTTTAAGGGCATTTCTAAAGAAATTCAAAATGATATTTTGGACTGCATGTTGGAATTATGCCAGGATAAAATTTTGGAGGAAATTCGGGAATCTCCATATCTAGCTGTCATGGCCGACGAGACTACAGACATTTCAGCAAACTCACAAATGGTTGTAGTATTTAGATATTGTCGAAATGGAGACCGGTAGAACGATTTTGGACATATTTGGTACCTTCAAAATTAAATGCAGACACTTTAAGCAAAAACATTTTCAGTGTTTTGGATCCTTTTCTGGAAAACTCAAATAATAAACTAATTGCTCAGAGTAATGATGGGGCAGCGGTCATGTGTGGACAGCACGCAGGAGTTCAAGCCAGAATCAAAGAAAAATATCCATTTGCTCATTTTGTACACTGTTACGCGCATAAATTAAATTTAATAATGTCTAAGGCTTGTTCCAAAAACTCTCAAGTTAGACTTTTTTTGGAAATTTAAATGAAATCCCTACCTTTTTTAAAAATTCGCCACAACGAGTGGCAGTTTTAGATAAAATCGTCCAAAAGAAAATTCCTCATGGCGCTCCATCTCGCTGGAACTTCAATATTCGAACTGTTAATGTTGTGTTTGAACATCGATCTTCTTTTATCGAATGTTTGGAAGAAATAGAAGAATCGTTTGATAAGGCAGCTGTCTGTAGTTCATCGTCTTCCATTCGAAGAATACTAGTGGATCAAAATTTTGTTTTTTGTTTAACATTTTTCCCATAATGCCACAAGTAGACGTTTTGTATAATGCCCTTCAAAAGACTAAAACGGATCCTTTGGAAATCAATAAAAAGGTGACAGATTTCGAAAGATACATGAATTCAGGTAGAAATTCAATAGATGATACCATTGACCAAGGTTCTAGTTTATGCGTTGAACCATTACCAACTAAAAGGTTACGGAAGGATAACAATCCAGTAGATCATCGGAGAGCATTTATCGAAGTTTGTGATATAATCATAAATTGTGCAAATGATAGATTTGCTTTTAAAAATCACCTACTTGCAACTTCATGGCTTTATCCTGAGCAATTTAATAATTATTGTGATAATTTCCCAGATTATAATTTAAGCCTGACTTGCGAGTCGTATCCAAATTTAGATAGGGAGCGCTTGAAGACTGAATTATCTGTTATTTATTTTAGAAGAGACTGTAGAGACATTAATGGGACAATACCTTTTTTAAAATTTTTAATTGAAAATAATTTAACAGAGCCTTTTCAAGAAACTGTAAAACTGCTTCAAATTCTAATTACAGTGCCCATGAGTACGGCAGAAGCTGAAAGGTGCTTTTCGAGTTTAAAACGGATTAAAACATTCTTGAGAAATTCCATGACTGAAGACCGACTTGTAGCATTAACCATGTTGTCAGAAAAAACACTTATAAAAGAAATACCAAACTTTACTGAAAAAGTTATAGACAAGTTTGCTTTAAAAAAAAATCGACGAATCGAGCTTATTTATAAAAAAAATAATATATTTGGCTCTGTGTGTAGTTAGTTCGTAAGACCCTATAATGCAATTATTGTTGTGGCGATTTTGTTTGTAGTGTTTTTTCGTTTGTATTCCTTAGTTTCGCGTATTTATCGATAAAATTCTACTAAAAACATAAACTATAAAACAATTACAAGTGTGCCATAATGTACCATTGCTATTTTTGTAATAATTGGATTTATCTTCAATTTGAAGAGAAGAAAATCGGTAAGTTCTTTATTATTTTTTAATAGATATATAATGAATAAATATATGGTGTAAAATATCAAACTAAAAGTCTCGTTGTAAAATACAACGATTAAAAGATATTGAATTAAAAAAAACCAAAAATACTGCAGAACTACCAAATTTTTGAGTCACCAGCCGCCACTGTCATTTATGACTAGAACACTAACAAGGAAGTATTCTTGAAACAACTTGGAACAACTTGGAACAACAGAGTCGCTTTTTAAACTTAGTTATCTCAGAAATATTTTCACATAATATGCAGAGCCACCCATATTCACCCTGTATATTTTTACATTTGTGGACTCTTCCTGATATTGTCGTTTTTACACTGTGAGTTTGTTTGTTATTCAACCTTACTAACATAGCCAAATATTTCATTTTGGAATATAGGATTGGTCGAAACTTGGAATGAGTTTTTTTAAATGGAACAGCCTATATTTTAGTATTGTAATAAAATGATATTTTATGGTGCATTATTATTTCGTGAGCATTCCCCATACCTAATTGCTTTAATTTGTGAGATATTTGTGATTCTTTGAGTCAAACATTATTTGCAATAGCAATTGGGTCAAATTTTATTAGGCTGGCGGTGAACATGTTCAATAAAAAATAAATTTTTGAAAAAAAAAAATTACATATAATAATCTAGAGCTAGACCTATTCTTAATTTATTAATATTGGATGAGATATCAAAATACCTAAGTAGTTAAGATTAGTAAAGTGTCAAATATGAATAAAAACACACAAGATTCTACCTATTTGGTTATGACGTTGTCACTAAATTTGCTTAAAAGTTTGACAGACCATTTTTATAGTTCCTGTTGCTTTGTTGCTAATACTAACATGAGTTTTTCTAAGAAGGAACTGATTAATATGGTTTTTATGTTAGGAGAGTGTAACAAAAAAGGGTTACTATAACAGAAGCCACAGTTAGAATGCGGTGCAGGTAAGATAGTCAATGTATTTCTTACAAAAGTAAGAGTAAACGTTGCCGGTTTGCACTGAACAGACTTTAAAACTATAGTTATGTACCAAATGACAGAAAAATATATACTAACTGTCATGAACTTTCAAAATTTTCTGAATTATTAATTAATTATCAAAAGGTAATTTTATTCAAAAGAAACTAAAATATGACAATGAGCTGATACATAAAACTTATTATTTATATATTTATTTATAAACTTTTTAAATTATTATGAGAGCAAATCTTATTGTTTTTCTTCTTGTAGTTCCTTTTTCTATTGGAGGTTGGCTATCATCACAGCTATTTGTACCTTATTGGCGGCTGCTGTTAAAATACCTACTGAGCTGAAACTATACTCTCTTAGGTTTCTTTACCAGGAATTTCTTTGTCTTCCTCTGAATATTTTACCCTTGATTTTACCTTGCATTATGAGGCTTAATATCTCATATTTCGCACCTCTGGTAATGGGGCCTAAATATTCCAGCTTTCTTGTTTTAATGTACTTTATCTCCTCGCAATCCTTTTGTAGCCTTCTTAAGACTTCTACATTAGTAACTCGTTAGTTCCATGGTATTTTCAAAATCCTTCTATAGCACCACATCTTAAATGACTCCAATTTCTTTATCTTATCCACTTTTAGTATCCAGCTTTCCATTCCATACAACAAAGTCGAGAACAAATAGCATCTTAAGGCTCTTATCCTCAGCTCCAGAAGAAGATCTAGATTAACAAATATTGTTTTCATTTTTATAAATACTTGTCTTGCAATTTCAACGCGTGTCCTTATTTCTCTACCTTGGTCATTGTTTTCATTTACCCAGTTTCCCAGATATTTGTAGTTATTCACTCTTTCTACTTGTTTTCCTTCAATATCTAGCCTTTCTACTATATGTTGCTTATAAATAATCATGCACTTGGTTTTCTTAACGTTCATTTGTAGTCCATACTTTATACTGACTTGATATAATCTAGTTACTAAGAGTTGCAGTGCGTCTAGACCGTTTGCAAAAACAACGGTGTCGTCTGTTTGTACCCTGTTGTTCCTCTGATATTGCTTCCTTAAAAATAGCTTCGCTGTACAGATTGAATACCAATGGCGACAGCACGCAACCCTGTCTAACATCTCTTTTGATTTCTATAGTTTCTGTATCGACATTTTTGAATCTAACCTTTGCTTTTTGATTCCAGTACAGATTGACAATAACCCGTATATCTAGACTATCCATCCACATTCTTTTCTTTTAACAGTTTTACGAGTTTCTGATGTCGTACTCTATCAAAAGCCTTTTGATAATCTATAACGCAGACAAAGAAATCTTGATTCATGTCTAGTCGTCTTTGCGCGAGAACGTTAAAAGCAAACCTAGTCTCTCTCGTTCCTAGTCCTCCTCTGAATCCAAACTGGGTGTCACCTATATCTTCTTCTATTTTTTTGTATAGTCTGTCATGTATTATTTTAAGAAATATCTTAAGTGTGTGGCTTATTAAGAAAATTGTTCTGTACTGGGAGCATTCTCTCGCATGTACCGACTTTGGTAGTGTTACAAAACGTGGACAGCAACCAATCTTTGGGTATTTATTACTCCTGTTGTATATATTTTGTTAAACAGATCTAAACGTATATGCAGTGTTTCTTCGTCAATGCATTTAATTAGCTCAGTGGGCTAATCTGGGCCTACTGATTTTGCGGTCTTTACATTTCTTATTGCCTCGTCTAATTCGCAAATTATTATTTTCGGTCCTGTTTGTTCCTGTGGTTTTTCTTGTATCATTCAATCATCGTCGAATAGTTTCATTATGTATTCTTGCCAAAATCTTAGGTATCATCTTTGAGCATCCCATAGTGCGCTCACTTTTTGGTATTGTGTTGGAATATCAGGTATGCGGTCTGTTATTATTAAAAAAAACTCTTTTTTCTTTTAATCCTCTATATTTCGCTGATTTTTTGTCACCTTCATCAGGAGACAACTAAAAATTTGAATAAAAGTTATATAAAAATCAGTTTAAATAAAAAATGACTCACTTACAGATTTAGAATGAAAAGTATTTAAACAAGTTGTTGAACATAATTTGTTCAAAACAGTACTGACAGTTTTCGTTAAAAGTACCTAGGTCACTAGTAATTAAATGTAAAAATATAAAAACAGAGCAAACAAAAACAACGAAACAATTAAAACACAATAAAATTACACATTAAAAATTTACAGGGTGATTTAAAATATAATTGTTAACAGAAAAATTATTTAGACATACTAAGAATATTACAGTAGATATTGCTCAACTGTCCCGTGTCTGCCTTGTAATTTACTGCATAGTTTTCTCTATTTATATGACACATTTTCAAAAACAATCTTTTTTTGTAATTATTTTCTTGCTGTAAAACTTGATGGTTAACTGCCGCACATGTATTTTTCCGTTTTGTGCAGTCACTTTTGTGTTGGGTGACCCTTTGTTTTAGCCATTGAGAAGTTTGGCCAACATAACAGCTCTGGCAATCCAAACAAGGCAGTTTATAGATAATATTAGTTTTGTTTAAAGTTGGTGTCTTGTCTTTTACTTTAGAAAACAGTTGTCGGTTTTCTAATAAATTATATTGGACAATTTTTATGTTGGTAAATTGTTTAAATAAACTAGTCACAGAAGATGTTAACTGTTTTATTAATGGTAGTTTTTTATATTGTGTTGTTTGTACTGCTCCGATATCAGTGGGATATCGTCAAAAATGTCAGAGTTAAATATCAATTTTTTAAGGATACGTTTTTGGTATCCATTATTGTAATTATTGTAATAAAAATTGTAATAAAAAATAAATTGTAATAAAAACAAGTGTAATTTTATTGTGTTTTAATTGTTTCGTTGTTTTTGTTTGCTCTGTTTTTATATTTTTACATTTAATTACTAGTGACCTAGGTACTTTTAACGAAAACTGTCAGTACTTTTTTGAACAAATTATGTTCAACAACTTGTTTAAATACTTTTCACTCTAAATCTGTAAGTGAGTCATTTTTTATTTAAACTGATTTTTATATAACTTTTATTCAAATTTTTAGTTGTCTCCTGATGAAGCTGACAAAAAATCAGCGAAATATAGAGGATTAAAAGAAAAAAGAGTTTTTCTCCTTATCCTCTGACGATTTTAGTTTTTAACGAGCAGATTTAGCTGGTTTACTGTTACTCCATGCAGATTGTTACGACCCGATTGTGTGGCTTTTCCCCTTTTATATCTCTGCCTTTCATTATTTGGTATTTGCATTTAGAAAGACTCATTCTTTCACATAGTACTTGTTTACGCATATCTGGAGCTTTATTATTAAAACTAGACCAAATTGTAGTTTGTTGTTCTAGGGTGCAATTTTGATGACAATTTTTTGTACATTTTGTTATTGGTCTAAATACTACGACCACGCGACAACAACTGAAAACAATTTGGTAGATGGCAAAATCAAATAAATCAACACGTTGTTTTGAAACTCGCATATTCCACATATAAAGAGGAGTGCAAAACGAAATATGTTTGCATATATGCACTTGCCATCTTTAACAAATAATAATGTTTGGTTTATGAAAAAGAGTAAATGCATTTATATTTAGTTTTGCCAACTTTCAATTTAACGCATATCAACGTGAATAGTGGTGTTACCTTATAATATATCTGCATATAGTATATTGCCACCTCTTCAAGTACCTTACTCTAAAGGTGTTATATGGAGACAAGAATAGGTATAAGATATTATATGGTATTGTCATCTTAATATGTCACTGTTTTTGAATTTATTTGCTTTTGACACCTTTAATAACACACTACCTAAACATCTGCAGCATACCTTATTTTGTCATGTTCTAGATCTCATCACTACGAATATGTGGATATAAAAATCTCAAAATGTGAAAATGTTGACATATTATATGCTTTTGCCATCTTTCCACAGAATTCTACTTTGTAGTTCTTGATATTTTGGCTCATTTCTCCCTTTGACTTTTCTCTTCTCTTCCATTAATGCTAGAATTTCTAAAGTCGTCCACGTTTGCTTTTTATTTGTCTTCTCAGACTTTAAATTTTCTTCTGCAGCCTTTAGTAATGTCTTCTGAATATTGCTCCACTTTTCATTCACATCTTTTGATGTTAAGATTTTTTCTTACTTAGCACTCAGACGCTGTTATCAAATCCGTTTTCACATGTTACAGCTTACAACAAACGGTGTTTAACTCACACAACAAAGATTGTCACATAGCATTTTGAGCTCAAACCACCTTTTCACCAAAACCCGTGGATTAATGGAAAATTTTGCCGGTTTTCAAAACTCTACGAAAACGATGTTCACGTGTCTAGACCCTGAATTGTTGTCCTTTGAGTACTAACGTCGAACTCCCGATGACCAAATTTGGACCTCCACCCTTTCTTACAGCGGCCCTTCGTCATCCTTAAAATCATCCTCAAAAATAATTCTTTTTACCGCATTAGCAGAAAAATTGTTGTTTATTTGTTTAAAAAATATCAAAAGCAATTTGTTTATTATAAGCAGATCCCCAAAATGTTTATATTATCGTTTATATTATCAATTTCAGAGACACAAAAAGATTAAGAATCTTTTTCGGTGCTTTTTGATATAGGAGGTGAAACGAAAATACTACAAGGTTAGGTATCTAATTTACCTAATCTCGAAACAGTTTTTTATGAACCAGGTTGAGATTTTAGTAATTAAGAAATATAAATGAAGTACAAAATACCTGAAGATCGTCGAAAAATTCGTCTTTGTTACAATGGCCAGCAGTGAGAATCCAACTTTCAGTTAATAAAACGCCTCCGCATTTTACAAAACACATCCCATCGCAATCTTCCACGGCAACTATATAAGGAAACTCACCTAGTGTGGCATTTTCACCACCTATAATACCCAAATCGTGCCTAGGAGCAGCTAAAAAATTTATATTTAGTTGTACAACAGGTAATTCCAAAAATTTTAATATTTATTAACAGGTTGGCTGCCAAGCTGATTTAGTACTATTTGCCATTATGTATTTGTTAACCATATATTGGTATACAGCACTATTTGCCAACGGCGTTGTGTGTACCTATTCATATACAAAATATATGAATTGTATATTAATATACAAAATTCTTTCTTGTATAATCTACAATAGATTATTAGAATACTTCGAAAATATAATTGGTGATTATCAAAATGGATTCAGACCAAATAGAGTAACTACAGATAACATATTCATACTAAGAACGATACAAGAAAAAGCTTATGAATACGACATAGACCTATATAATATGTATATAGACTTTAAACAAGCTTTTGATAGTGTGAAAAGAGACATAATGCTGGAAGACCTTTGTAATCTAGGTATACATAAGAAATACATCAGCATCATAAAAATGACGTTGCAGAGTTCAAAAACCGCAGTCAGAGTAGATGGAGAACTGACTCCCCTGTTTAACATCAACATGGGAGTAAGATAGGGAGATGCTCTATCAACCATGCTATTCAACCTAGTTCTTGAGACAGTCATCAGAAAAACCAATATAACCGGCCATATAAACACCAAATCAGTACAAATTACTGCATATGCAGACGATGTAGCCATCATTAGTAGGAATAAGCCACGACTAATGGAAGTGTTCAAAAAAAGAGGTCTCAAAATAAACGAAGCAAAAACGAAGTATATGACAGTCAAAAGAATAACTGACAATAAAAATAATATCACAATAGACAACTATACTATCGAACGAGTGGATGCCTTTACATATCTCGACACAGAAATCAATCAGAAGAACTCCGTAAGTAGCGAAATTAATGCACGTATTTCCAGCGGGAATCGTACATACTATGCTAATAAAAGATTAATGACATCGAAATTATTAGACATAAGAACCAAAATGACTATCTACAGAACACTGATTAGACCCGTAGTAACCTATGGATGTGAAACTTGGGTAATGACGAAAAAAGATGAAGCCCAACTCAGGATATTCGAGAGAAAAATACTGAGAAAAGTGTATGGCCCGGTACAAGAGGAAGATGGCACATGGAGAATCAGGAGAAACGACGAGGTTAATGAGTTAAATGAAGGTTATGACATTGTTGTGAAAAGTCAAAGACTGTCATGGTTGGAACATGTGCAAAGACAAAACGATGCAAAAACAACAAAGAAAATGTTATAATGGAAGCCCATAGGAAGGCGAAAAAAAGGAAGGCCCAGAACGAGATGGTTGGATGACGTGGAAGACGACCTGAAAACAATGAACATAAGACAATGGAGAAGAAGGGCACAAGAGAGATCTGAATGGAAGGACATATCCAGACAGGCAAAGACCCATCCAGAGTTATGATGCCAAACGAAGAAGAAGAAGAAGTTGTGTGTACCTATATGGTGTACAGCATGTAATCAGGATCAGGATGATCTGCGGGATTACACAAAAAAAATAAAGTCGAAATCAAACGTGGGGTTAGATAGTCAATCTTATTGTTTAAATTTGCTTACAGTTGTAATAGTATTTATTCATTCACATAATAGAATTCAAGCGAATAGACTAATCGGTTGAGTTAACCGAAAGTACAAGCTGAATATAGCCGCAAATGTCAACCATGAAATAGAATATTTCGGTTTGGCAGTGTTAGGATATTTTTATAATGCATATGTTGTATGCTTTAAATATAAAGAGGGAGAGCTTTTAAAAAGTACATCTTAATTATACTATTTTATGAATTCTGCTATTTTTAATTTATATGAAACAATAATAGTAAATATTTGTCTCTTTCTAGATTAATTGCGAACATCTGTTGCAATCTGGCAGCTCCTGATTTGACGATTGCCAAATCTATCCATTATTTTTTCAAAGGGCAATTGCAAAAAAATTTTCTAATAATTAACTGCAATTAATCTTCAAAGAAACAAATATTTACTCACTCTTGTTTTATATAAATCAAAAATTGAAGAACATAATAAAATCAAAATGTACTTTTCTAAAGCTTTATCTCTTTATATTTGAAGCATACAGCATATTCATTATAAAAACATGCCAACACTGCTATACCGAAATTTGTTGTTCCATGTTTGACATTGTGGTTATAATCAGCATGTACTTTCGGTTAACTCAATCGACTAATCAATATGCCTTAAAAAGTGGGCAAATACATAATTTATGACAAACCTTGTAATGAGTTACAATGTTTTAATTGAAGGTTATAATCTCGACCAGGTAAAACCTTGTATAAATAATAATAAAAAAAGAAAAATATCTAAGACATAAAATTATCTGAATCAGACAATCTGAAAAGTGAAATACACACAAGAATTTCTATAAATACCATAGATACCATAGGTCTTAGATGAACTATCTTATGTGTAATTTAATGAGTTATTCCCTTTACAATTGAATGACATGACATTTTTCAATGACACTTAGAAGCAAAAGTACTATTGTACTCATTTATTATCGATAAAATTAAAGTTGTAAATAATAAATGGTTATCAAAACAGCAACATCTGAAATACACTTATTGATAACCAAATATGATAAAATATAAAAAATTATAATTATTCACCTTTTTCAACAAACAAAATTTAATATTATTAGCAAAAGTTAGGTACTTGAACTGTGTCTCGTCGTTTGATTTTAATGAGTCAATTTTACTTAAAAGTGGTATCACAGCGGTTCAGAGAACATCTGTTTTTAGGTACTCTGTATAAATAACAGATTTGGAATAGAAATAAATGACATTAAATAATTATTTAAAACAACAACAATCACAGAAATTTTTTGAAAAATTATAGATAAAAATATAAACGTTTTACAGCCGAAAATATGTACAGTTGCGGTCACGGAATAGTTTACAGGTTCACGTATCTAGGAGCCCATTTTTTAAATTTTTACTTCGTTTAAACGCACCTTTTACGTCAAAGTGACGTTGCCAGTGGTGTACTAGCTAGAATAGGTAGATTAAAATTAAAATATCAAAATATTTTACAAAATGAAAAATATAGAAAACAGTTTTTTGAATAAAATGGATTATGATCTTAATAACGAAAATAAAGAAATCTTTTTTTTTAATATGCATTTTATTTTAAATCTATTTTATATTAAATAACGATAAACAATGATAAATAATAATTAATATTTGGTGGAAGCCCCATTCTTGTCAATACAATTTTGCAGTCTTCTGTTCATAGATAGCACCAATCCCCTCATGTTATAGTTAACATTGCTCTTGCTTTTTGCGCATAATTCAAATGTATTCTAACCATTTTGGAAGAGTTTAATATACTTTTATTTTATTGTTGAACACTCGCGAAAGCATTGACGTTTTGAAATTTTTTGACTTTGACATTTATCAAATCCGTACGACACTGCAATTTTACAGTATTACAATATAAAAAGTAAGGTGTAAACTATTCCGTGACCGCAACTGTACATAAGTTTAGCAGTTTTGTATATCCTAAAAAATAAAAATTGTCTTGTGTTTTGATACCTTCAGTATCAAAACACAAGAGCTTCAATCAGTGTGTACTACCTAATCTCACATAGAACACTCAAACATGGACGTTTACCAAGGATAACATAGAAAATATACCAAGAATATTACAATATATGCAATAATATATGCTGAATATGAAACAGTAAGAAAATAAAATGGCTAATTCTTGATAAAATCAAAGTAAAAGATACTCCATCTCAAATAAAAAAACTTAAATGGAAATTTGAAAAATCACAATTTAGATGATCAGATGACAAAACAATATTCAGCCGTATTTAAGCATTGGCTTCTGAGGGAGCAGCTATTGCTATGTAAGGGGGAGGAGTCTCAAATAAAGTAGATTTGTATGCCTTACGTAGCCTACCCAAAATTCAAAAACCCGATATTCCTCTTGTAAATATTATTTTGCCTGCCAGATAGTGTATTACTATGGAGAGTATACGGCAAGCAAAATAAACCGAAACGTTGCGAATGGCCACTCAGGGTTTATTTGGAGAACTGGGTCGTGGATAAGTGAATGACAAGGGAACTGAAATTGGGTAACTACACAAAAATGAAACAAAAGGGTACTTACATAAATCTCCTGGAACAAACAAAACACAAGAAGGTCCATAAGCTATTAAAAAAAAACGGGTGTGGCAGTCCAATGGGACTGCCGGTAGAAGTTATACTTCTATACACGCGTTCGCCGTTACAAATTTATATGGGAGTCAATCTGCACAATCATTACATATTATGTAATGCTATAGGTATAAATAATGCTATAGAGAGAGCAGAAAAAGAAAAAGAATTAGGTATATAGGTATATGGTGCATCGTTTGCTTTATATAAACATTTGACCTGTACAAGGAGTATAATAAATGAAGGATTGAATCAATATTTTAACGAAAATATATATTTTTATTTTCATATATGTAAAAAAGGAGTTAAATGCAAAAAAAAATTTTACACATACTCTGCAGTAAAATTTATTGTTTATTTTGTTATTAATATAAAAATTCAATACAATACACTGCAACATAATTTAATATAATAATACAATACAAATTAAAATGCAATATCCATAAGTATTTAAAAATAATATTACTATTATTAATATCCTTCAGTACACCAAAGCTATACATTATTTGTACCGGAGATTTTATTACTGTTATCCTAAGCGAATCTTTAAAGGACAGTAAAGGATAGCTGGTCTGCTTTGCCTACTTCGCAGAAATTAAAAAGTCCCAAATGGACATCAATGCCTACATCTAGAAGCATAATCTTTAACTAATATGGGATGTGGTGCCAACGCTCATTATTTGGTGTGCAGAAGTACAAACATCAACAGTAGAGGTGGGTCTTTATTATGATTCATCTTAAGTACAGGACTATAAATCACTAATATAAGAAATGAAACTACTTTTGTCACAAACACTCGAAATATTCATTGA